GGGATTGTCTATAAAACAAGTCATTGAGGAGCCAACTCGTAAAGAGGCCATACTAGATTTAGTGTTAACAAATGGAGATTTGGTATCAGGTATTACTGTAGGTGAAAGTTTAGGATCCAGTGATCATCAGTCAGTGTGGTTTAATATAAGAACAGTGACTGAGTCACACTACACAAAAACAAAAGTTTTAGACTTTAGAAAAACAGACTTCTAAAATTAGAATATGTGTAGAGGAGTCATTATCAGACTGGAGCAATTTAAATGGAATCCAAGAGAAATGGGATTATTTAAAAGTTGCACTACTGAAGGCAACAAAAAATTGCATTAGGCTTGTCAGTAAAAGCAAAAAAATTCAAGAAACCACTGTGGTACTCCGCAGATGTGGCCAAAATAGTTAAAAACAAAAAGTTAGCATTTAGTAATTATAAAAAAAATCAGAGTGAGGAAGACAAAATGATCTATAAGATTAGGCAGAAAGAGGCTAAGCAAGAGCTTCCAAATCACACACAGAAGAGAAAATAGCACAGTCAGTAAAAAAGGGGGACAAAACTTGAGAAAAGAAAAGTAAAACAAAGATTAGTTAGATTAAAAACAAAGGAAGGGAGGTATGTAGAAGAGGATAAAGGTCTACCTGACTGCCTCAATGAATATTTTTGTTCTGTATTTACAGATGAAAATGAAGGAAAGGGACCTCAGTTAAGAAAAAGGATAAATGAGTCATTTATTACACATGAGTTTACAGAGGAAGAGGTTCTATTTCAACTGTCAAAAGTAAAGACAAATAAGTCAATGGGACCTGATGGAATACACCCAAAGCTATTAAAAGAGCTTAGTGGTGTACTAGCAAAACCATTAACAGATTTATTTAACCAATCATTGTTAACAGGAGTAGTCCCAGAATATTGGAAGTTAGCGAATGTTGTGCCCATTTACAAGAAAGGTAATAGGGAGGAGTCGGGCAACTATAGGCCAGTAAGCCTTACTTCAGTAGTGGGGAAAGTGATGGAAACCATGTTAAAGGATAGGATTGTTGAACATCTAAAACCACATGGATTTCAAGATCAGAGACAACATGGGTTTACTTCAGGGAGATCATGCCAAACTAATCTTATTGATTTTTTTGATTGGGTAACTAAAATTATAGATCAGGGTGGTGCAGTAGACATTGCTTACCTAGATTTCAGTAAGGCTTTTGACACTGTTGCACATAGAAGGCTTATCAATAAACTGCAATCTTTAAGTTTGGATTCCAATATTGTTGAATGGGTAAGGCAGTGGCTGAGTGACAGGCAACATAGGGTTGTAGTCAATGGAATATATTTGAAGCTTGGACTTGTCACCAGTGTGGTACCTCAGGGATCTTTACTTGGACTCATTCTCTTTAATATTTTTATTAGTGATATTGCAGAAGGTCTTGATGGTAAGGTATGTCTTTTTGCTGATGATACTAAGATATGTAACAGGGTTGATGTCCCAGGAAGGATAAGCCAAATGACAAATGATTTAGGTAAACTAGAAAAATGGTCAGAATTGTAGCAACTGACATTTAATGTGGATAAGTGCAAGATAATGCATCTTGGACGTAAAAACCCAAGGGCAGAGTACAGAATATTTGATAGAGTCCTAACCTCAACATATGAGGAAAGGGATTTAGGGGTGATTATTTCTGATGACTTAAAGGTAGGCAGACAATGTAATAGAGCAGCAGGAAATGCTAGCAGAATGCTTGGTTGTATAGGGAGAGGTATTAGCAGTAGAAAGAGGGAAGTGCTCATGCCATTGTACAGAACACTGGTGAGACCTCACTTGGAGTATTGTACACAGTACTGGAGACCGTATCTTCAGAAGGATATTGAAACCTTAGAGAGAGTTCAGAGAAGGGCTACTAAACTGGTTCATGGATTGCGGGATAAAACTTACCAGGAAAGGTTAAAGAATCTTATCATGTATAGCTTGGAGGAAAGACGAGACAGGGGGTGTTGGGGATAAATCATCTATACACGAAACCCTCTATGTTAGATGGATATTTTGTCGGAGCCACACCCTCTTTGTTAGACAGGATCCTGGGAATCAGTCAAGAAGACAAGAGATGTGTTTTATAACCAATTCAAATTTTATTCATACGTCAGTTATATTTATACCCCATTTTCATGTCGGTGGGGGCCATGAGCATTAGTGACATAGTTTGTTTTTCACAAGTTATGAACAGCTGTTTATAGTTATAATTCTTTGTTATATAATGTATGCATATTGGATAAAACCCAAATGATTGCAAATACCGAAATCTTGGACAATTAACAAGAACATCCCAAAATCATTGTCCAAGAACATCTCAAAATCATTGTCCAAGAACATTTCCCGTAAATAGGATTGTAGATAAATTTTATTTCCAAGAAACGGAGATACAATTCCAAATTTATTCTTGCTTCAAATTAACCATTATATGAACAGCTAGGATATTAAGCAAAATGGATATTCGTATCCTACAATTCCTCTCTTAGATCATATCATAATCTACCTTACGGAATATCCATGGGAGGCCTGCGGCAGTGAAACGAAAGGAGGTATATTCAGACGTGCTAATCACTTTAATTATTTCTTCACCTCGATTTCCCCCATTTGCTATGTGCCGCAGGTTTTCCCTTTAAGAGGAGATCGAGCTGTCGATTTTCAGCTTCTGTAATCATCTGTTGTACACGTTTCTTAAGTGTGCAAGTTAGATAACAATTAAACAATATCATTATTGCAAGTATTATCACAATGATGACAATAGTGTAGAAAAAGGACCTTACAACTTGTGCGCCAGTTGGGGACCAACCTGTGAGGGCATCATACCAATGATGAGCAACATTTTCCTGGATTTTAGAACTAACTTTAATTAATTCCCTTTCAACTATGTGGGTGGATATTTCAGTATGTACTAAGGCATCTTTATGTGCTTTCAAATGTTTAAACATATCTCCTTTTCCTTTTATTAAATTGATTATTATTCCTATGGGAAGTTGATAATCAACGATAGGTAACGCAGGTGGAATATATATTTTGGACTTGTATATACTAGGAATAGGTTGCAGGAAATAAGTATGATCTTTCCACGTTATCCAGGTTGCATTTGATATACATCCTACAAAGGGTAAATGTTCATCAACTTCGGGAATATTGATAGGTTGGTTGGTAGCTAGGCACACTATTTGTGGTTCTATTTCTAACATAACTGAATAATCCGATGGATATACATGCCAAGTACAACTACTTATTTGATTAGCTAATAAGCATGGTTCATAGATGGGTGAGGAATGTCTGCATGTGTAACCTTTATCTGCCTTGTCACAGTGTTCTAATGAATATGTTTTATTATCCTTGGGGAATATATATTCTCCTGTATAAATTGGATTCCACCAAGTAAGATTATTATTAAGTATATTAAACATAGGTGTAGGTAAAGTGAAGAACTTACATGCTAGTTTTATATGGGTTGGAGCAACTTCATATAACGTAAATCCAACCCTACATGAATAACTCGATATCTCGTCTTCTACCCATTCTTCACAATATACATCATTTGACCTTAAACTAATCCAATAGTTGTCAGTTAATTCCATCATTTCTCTAACTTTCTGTATTTTTGGTACCATAAGAGTATTCTCTAGTCTTAGCCTCTATTGATGCATCCATAAAACTCTAGTGGCACATAAGGTCCAGTCAGTGCTTCCTTTTGTTAGGTTAGTAATAGCATATGTTAGATTACCTAGATAGGTGTACATAGATTCTTCTAGTTGTAATTCCTGCCATTGTGATTGTACCAAGGTAGGGGCCCAGTTAGCCATTACATGGAATCCTATCCCTAATTCTTTCCCTGCCGTGGATAACTTATTCTTTAGTATTTCCATGTCTACACCATTTAATATTCCCATAGCTGTTCCCGTAGCCCCTAAGATGGTATCATACCATTCTCTCTTCTCTCTGTTAGGTAGTGGATTACATAATCGAACATCAGGTATAGATATATTTAGTGTTATGTGTACAGCCTTCTGAATTATAGTAGTGTTTACACATGATGAGAGTATTAGAATATGGGAACAATTATGAACAGTAGGTGTAGTATGTGGGCTACAATATAATAAAACAGCAAACCAACCTCTGTTCTCTATTCTAGTACTATTATATATGAAACGGACATATCCTCTAGGCCATGTGGCATTATATATGCTTTGAACATTATCACCAGGAGTGATAGAAGTAAGGGGAACTGGATTGTCTTGATCTAGAGAAACATTAGTATTTTGCAAATAATAAAATATTGAACCAACCCCTTTGTTTGTGAAAGGATAAGGCTCTGCAAATAGCCAAGCAAGAGTATAAAAATCAGTAGTGTTAGTAATTGTTATAGAGCAATTTACAGAATCATCATGCAATGGTTTGACCACTACTTGTGCAGTCTTTGCAGCAATACATATTTGACCATTAGTTGTAATATTAAGTACAAGGCAGGTTAAAATCCTCTTGTGTTCTAGTCTCTTTGGCACGGCTCCACCAAAATACTGATTTAGAAGAACAATTGGTGTGAGTTTGCAAAGTCTTGTCTGCGGGTAGTGATCTTTTGTGTCTGGTTCTATTAGTAGGATGATCAAGGCCTAATTGGACACTGTAACTGGTGGAGTTGTGATCTTTCCAGAAACAGACTTTCTGGAACTCTCTCATATTCTCATAATCAAAGTGACAATCAAGAAGGACGATCAGCGGTAGGAAGAAAATCATAAAGAGAATTAGGATGATGTAAAAATTCTTTGCCCCATGCAAGGGATCCAATAGGTTTACTTTAGCCATAGCACTTCAGATAAGGATATTGGGTCGTCAGGGCCAATTGGAATAAGGGCCTTGAGCTTGTCTCCTACTTCACCCCTCTTTGGACACGGCTTCAGACAGGATGCATGGATCCAAATATCTCGGGAGTCGGTGAGCACAGCGGTTCGCGTCACGGCAATCACAGTGGTAGGCGGGCCAAAAGGAAACTTTCCCTTCCTGCTCTTGTTCAGCTGTCGGATACAGACCAGATCACCAGGCTGGTAAGGATGTGTAGGTTCCTGTGAGGGTAGAGGAAACTGCACGGAAACATCACCATATACAGAGTTGAGTTTAAAAATTAACTGTTTAACATACTCTTCCTGGATTAATTCTAAATCACCAGGCATAATAACAAATTGTCCCTTCACCCAAGGAGTAGGAAATGGTCTTCCCATGAGTATCTCAAACGGTGACAATTTAGTAGTCCTGTTAGGAGTCATTCTTATTTCAGCTAGAATAGCAGGTAAGTATGTTTGCCAGTGAACCCATGTGCCATCTGTGGCCTTCATCAGTTTTTCCTTAATTGTCCTATTCATCCTCTCTACTATACCTGAACTCTGGGGATGGTAGGGTACATTGAATTTCAAGGTAACCTGTAACCATTTTGCCAGTTCCTGTGTAACTTTGCTAGCAAAGGCAGGGCCATTATCAGAATTGATCTGTAATGGGCAGCCATACCGAGGAATAATTTCAGTGGTCAGTATTTTCACCACAGTCCTAGCATCCTCCTTGTTAGTAACAAAGGCCTCGGGCCATTTAGAGAAGTGATCCACAATCACCAGTAAGTATTGTTGTCGCTTACCTGTCTTGGGGATGTGGGTGAAATCTACCTGTCAACGGGCCTGTATGTGGTGGGAGGTGTTCGTGTCTAGGCTTGTGTGTGACAGTAGTATTGGTCTGTAAGCATTGGACACACCTCTGTAAGTATACCTGACAGTGGAGAAAGAGATTTAAAATTACAAAATGTTGTTGAATAAGGCCAAAAGTGACCTTAAGACCCTTGTGACCCACTCCGTGTGCCTGGGAAATAAAAATAGGGGCACTACTTTCTGGTATCCCTATCTTCCCCTCTTTGGAATAAAGGCCATTTTGGTCTTTTTCCAAACCCTGTTTTTTCCAGTATGCAATATCCTCATGGGTTGCAAAACCCTGAAGTTCTTGCAACAACTGTTCTCGGGGCAGGTAGGGGGACTAAAAATTGGGAATATCATACGGTAATAAATGGTTCGAGACACTATCTCTTTGGCAATTCTATCTGCTAGTGCATTGCCTTGGGATAAATCATCCCTACCTTTAGTGTGAGCTCTACAGTGGATGATAGACACTGTACGAGGAAGTTGTAAAGCTTGCAAGAGGTCTTCAATTAATGTCTTATGAGAAATGCCTTTACCATCAGCTGCAATGAATCCCATACAGTCCTAAAGCTGGGGCCTGCATAATGCCTACCTTAAGTGCCACATATGCATCATCCATTTCAGGTGACCATCTGATGTAATCTGTGCTGTCCCCTTTTACAGCCATTCTCAAAATGGAGTCGTAGTATGAACATTCAGGTATCCACCGACGACACTAATTAATCATACCCAAGAAGGTGAGCAACTCCTTCTTTGTAACAGATTTGGGTATCTTTTGTAGAGCTTCAATACGTTTGGAGCTGAGGGAGCGTGCACCTTGTTGTAACACAAATCCCAGAGAGTCAACCTTCTCTGCACCTAATTGGATCTTATGCTTGGCTACCTTGTGGCCTTCCAGTGCTAAATGTTTCAATAAGCTAACAGTGTCTTGTGTGCTGGCTTCCCAGTCAGGACTGCACAGCAGTATATCATCAACATACTGCAGCAGGACGGAACCATGACTAGGGGTCCATGACTTAAGGGTTTGCTGGAGCACCAGTGAATAAACAGCTGGTGAGTCCACGTAGCCCTGGGGAAGGCGAGTCCAGGTGTACTGAACTCCCTCAAAAGTGAAAGCCATAAGTAGTTGTGTCTCTTGGTCAACAGGGACCGAGAAAAATGCATTACTTAAGTCAATGACTGTAAAATACTTAGCTTCACGAGGAATGGCTGTTATCAGAGTGTTAACATCAGGGGCAATGGGGGCTATTGGGATAATTAGATTGTTAATGGCCCTAAGGTCTTGAACAAATCTGTAGTACTTGGTAGCCTTAGGGACCGGGTTAATAGGGGAGTTATAGGAGGAGACTACAGGCCTTAGTATACCCTGCTGAAGGAAGGACTGGATCATAGGTCTGACCCCGTCTTTCTTTTCCTGTGACGGGGATACTGTTTAATATAAATTGGGCTGACGTTTGGACGTAGTTTTGCTTTATAAGGGGTACAATTTACATATCCTACATGTGATAGAAACATTTAAATACATAAAGGGAATCAACACAGTAAAGGAGGAGACTATATTTAAAAGAAGAAAAACTACCACAACAAGAGGACATAGTCTTAAATTAGCGGGACAAAGGTTTAAAAATAATATCAGGAAGTATTACTTTACTGAGAGGGTAGTGGATGCATGGAATAGCCTTTCAGCTGAAGTGGTAGAGGTTAACACAGTAAAGGAGTTTAAGCATGCGTGGGATAGGCATAAGGCTATCCTAGCTATAAGATAAGACTAGGGACTAATGAAAGTATTTAGAAAATTGGGCAGACTAGATGGGCCGAATGGTTCTTATCTTCCGTCACATTCTATGTTTCTATGTTTCTATCCAGCATTAGCTAATCAACGTTTTACTTTATGACTTTTATAAAAGCTATTCTTAAATCTAAAGCCATAGTTTCTTCTTTGCTATACACTGTAAAAATATACATATTTAGATTTTCTGCCTTGTCCTGATTCTCCTCAATTCACACATACCTAGATTCTAACATTGTCACTCTTAACCTTTCTGTCATTAATGTACATAAAAAAACCGTTATGGTCTTACTTAGAGGCTCTTTACTCACAAAGAAGCTACACTTGCTTTAAAAACTCACCATAAAAGCCATATAGGATTTCCAAAATGGATATTACCAAAAGGTAGTACCATCCTTATACTCCTCTTACTATCATTATTTTACTTCTGTAGAGCTTAACACATGTTCCTTGAGTAAACTTTCCATGCTACTATAGTGACCATCCCTAATCCTGGAAAACATAAAGAGGTTGCTAAAATGTCCAGCTTATTTCCCTTCAGAATTTAAATACTATGATTTATGTTAAAGTTATTGAGCACTGTTTTCACCTTTTGCCCGTTATATTTATCAGTTGGAAAATGCCCTAAATACAGAGCTTGTTTAAGCCACAAGGTCACAGGTCCTGGCTGATCAGCTGAGCCCTTCATCCATCTAAGGTCGATAAATGAGTACAATCAGTTGGGTAATAATAACATCTACTATTCAGCTGCTCATTCGGTTACTTCTGAGAGTGTTCGCTAATAAGTGCTTTAAATTCCACTGGAAGAAAGGTGCTATATAAATATTATTATCATTAGGCAATAAAGTAGTCAGCTACTCACTAATTATATTTATTTATTCTTTGAATGTTTTTTTTTTTTTGCTTTGTCTTTTATAGACTAACAGGGCTATTCACTAACGTGAAAATTCTAAATGATATCAAAGTGAATGTTAAATTTAGGACCAGAGTAGTTGAAAGGAAAACATAGCTGATTTAGAGAATTTTTACATTTGGCTATTGTGACCTTAAATCTGACATTCACTTTTAATTCACCTTGAGTTCTCAGTTTAGTGACTAATCCTGTATTTATAATTATTAATATTATAATTTATAACCCTGTATGTTTCATTTTTGCTAGATTGGAGGGCAGTTGTGGAGGTGTATTGTTGGGGTTTCATACAATGTAATCTTACCGCATTAGAGGTTGGCGTGTGTAAAAAGAAAACTTTATTGGGTTTATCAGTTGCTATTAGGAGAATAATGAACTTTTAACAAAGACTTGTCTTTCCTTAAACAGGATTGCATGCAGGCTCCTGCATCAGCAATCTACAAAAGTGCTGACACTTTGTATATGCAATGTTTCCAGGGACACATATCACTTAAACGTATTGATGGGCAGCACATGAAAAGGGTTGCCTTGTAGTATGCCGAATTCAGAAGAAGGTGTATAAGATTTAGTAATTATGAAATAAAGCCCGCAGAATACACATTATACATACTGCAGGATACCCCTTTTCATGCATTTTCCTAATTATGACAAGACTATGTTTCCCTGAAAACATGGTGGATCTGGTAAACATATATACAGCTCTTTTGTGCATTAAGAAACTATATTGAATAGGATATTAAGCTTGATATTTAGTGTAAAGAAATAATCTGTTATGTGCCGAGTATTGTCACCTTAAGTTTAAAGGGACATAGATTGATTTTGTTATAATTAGTTTAAATAAGCTAGGAAGTCTTTTTTTTCTTACTGTGATTATTCTATCAATGCTTTTATACAGTGTATCTTTCAAGGAAATGTTATATGGAAACATCATTAAACCTTTTTTTCCATTGTAGAGGTATGAGATCTAGATCGCGTGTAACAGTGCCGATGGGATTAATTTGCACTTGGTTGTTGTATTAATTAGAGAAGGGGTGTGCATTCCAGATTTATAGTTTTTATTTCCATGTTATTTTGGGCAGTTTGGAGTTGCAGAAAAAGCGTTGTTTAGATGCAAAATGTGTCCAGCCGTTATGAGTGCAAGGTTTTTCCACACAAATATTTGGCTTGTTTAAAGGGGCTCTCCTGCATGTACACTGAGGACATCCAGCTTGGACAGTGAGTATTTTAAACACATTTTGTATCAATATGTCTTATTGGAAATTATTCTGTATTTTCTGGAGTAGTGGTGGACAGCTGTTGGATATTAGTTTTTTTTTTCCTGCTTGTCATTGATTTACAGATAATCTGTGGACAAAACAAAAAAATGTACAAATTGAATAAATCACACAACAATCACATACACCTTCTTATCCCACATATGTGTTTTTTTGTCTTTTCTCCTCGGATGCTAGATGTGATTCTGATACATATCACAAAATCACAGATCATATGTATTGGGGTTCCCTCCCAGGTAATCACAGATATTTGGCACATGTTTCCTTATGAATGGAAAAAAACTAATTGTTATTTTGTATTTGTACATTCTACAGTGGAAAAGGTGCAAATTATTTTAGGATAACTATTAGCTGAGTTCACCCGTTACGTCATCGATATGTCCAGATGTGTGTATGATGTATAGCTGTAAAGAGTGGGTATGTGTATGAGCTGCTGTCAGTATTTGAACGTGTATCACTGTGTTTGTGGTTCCTCGGAATCCAGTCCAGACCTGGGGCTAGGTTATAGTAAAATATACTCCTTAAAGAAAAAATATTACTCTTTGCTGTCATTAAAGATGTAGTAACAGCATTAGAGTAGTCTGCTTATCGTGTTTTGAAAGCTATATGCAGAGCCATAGTCTTTAACTGGATGACGCACACAATTTTGGAATAGGACTCTTAACAGATAGATTATTTAAAATATAGGCTTGCCATTGGTCCTTGAGGGGTTAAGTAAGTACTGGTGACCTTAGTATATATGTAACTCTCTCTCTCATTTACAAAAAGTGAGAATACAAAGTGAATTTAAAGTGAATGTAAAATTTTAGACCAAGGTACCTGACTTAGAGACTTTTTTTAGTTCTGCTATTTTAGCATTACGTTTGAAATTTACTTTGAATTCACTCTCAGTTCTGTATATATATATATTTGTTCTAAAATATAAAAGGCCACATATTACATGCCTTGTAATTATTAAATTCCAAATTTACATGAACAATCAAAGCGAGTATTCCAGATGTGAATGTGAAATCGAAAAAGCAGTGCATATAAAGGTATTTTGGAGTCTTCTGCTGCTACCTAGTGGGAATCTGAGAAACCATCAGCTGTTGAAATGATATTTTGTAAGGCTCCTGTATCAGCAATATAACAATGTGCATCCTGTTTAAACAACATTTATATGCTTTCCTGTTGATTACAATCTCAACTAAATTGCTCTTCAGATAATAGGAATTTGTAAGAAATTAGATGGTTTTATAAAGTGTACATCAGTCTAAAGCAATGCTCTTACAGCATATTATTCAAACACACTTTCGTCCATTTAGCACTAGCACTATTTAATTTGTCTCCCACGTTGGAATTAGTGTAGGACCCACCGATATTAGGGTACTGTAGTGGTGGGCTTAACACAATATTGCTGTTGTGGATCCAAATAATGATCTTTGTTATATTCAGAGGAAGCCCAAATTATTATTACAAGTGCACTTGGAGAAGCGAGAATTAGACACCAGACACCTGTTGGTATTCAAAACAAGCCTCTGCCGTTTTATTCATCAGCTGGGTTTTATACATTAAAAAGTAAGTGCTTATGTGCAAATACTCATAGAACTGTAATAGGAAGGGAGTACAGATAAGACATAGGGATGAACATCATGTACACATAAATAAGTTCCAAGGTAAGAAAGAACAAAAAGATTAGAAAAGAGACATCTCAGGTGGGGGCTCTCTGCTCCCGGAACTAGACATATATGGTCTTAAGTGTCGTGTTCAAGTTTCGCATCAAGCATTTCCTTTCCTGAGTCCAAGTTAGCCAATTTTAATATAGGATATCATTATATGACACCTATAAGCTTGAGCCTTGGAATCAAGATAAATTCTATCACAATCCCCTCTTTTGATCCAAGGGTCACCCAAATGTCCAAGGTATTTCCAGGCCTGCTAGCCAACTTGAATTCACTCTCAGTTCTGTGGGACTTTCATTTATTGCTTCAAGACGGTTCTCTTGGACTGAGAGACCACCAGAATCAGCAGAGGAGAGTTCCTTCATTTGTTAGGCGAGGTAACATCATAAAACCCTTCCAAAGTTGGAGCTGGAATGTAAGTTAAGATACGACCAACAGTAGGTTTGCTTTTACATAGAGAGGTTAGTAGACATGAGAAAAATCTAAAGGTTAGAAAAATGAACATTATGACAAATATAGCTAATAGCAAAAAGTACAAAATTTTCTTAATTAGTAAAGTCAATGGCTGCTCTATTCTCAAGGATTGCCTTCTTATTTGCCTGGTTGTCCATAAGTAGCTCTTCTAGGGCCTAGGAAGTGGAATTTAAACCCTTTGCAAGGGAACAGGCTACAGCATTAATTACTCGGGTAGATATTTATGCGGTCTATGGGTATGTAGGTACTTCCTCAAAAGTGAGATGGGGTAGGGACAGCTATAAGACAAGATTCTATGGCGTTTTCAGTACTGAGGAGAGGGTTGAGGCAAAATGAGGTTAAAT